AGGCGCCGAGCCACTGTAATTTCTTTCTGTTAAACATATTCTTAACGATTTATGTCCTTAATGACACGTGACTTATCTTGAAACTGTGTACATAGCAATGTGCCTGCACTCCTGCAGCCTGCTCTCCCCTTCTCCACCCTGGGCAGGACTCAGGCCTCCTTGGAGGACCAGTGTGTCAACAGGAAGGCTCTTCCCCCACCCTCCATTGGGCAGGGGTGCAGCCCCTTCCACTTCCCTTTCAGCAGTTCTGAAATCTGCTATCGTAACGGAAACCCCAGAAGAAATGAAACACTGTCCTCACAAACCATGGCAACACAGGTTTCTAGGATCCCTCAGAGTAAAGCTAAATTGTTCTTTTCTTTTGTGAGCAAAATTGCTCTGAATCTCAGTCTAACTCTTGAACAGCCCTGTGAACTCACATAGCCTGGCCTGTCACAGGGTGGGGCTACAGGAGAGGGGCTGAGATATGGTCAAGAGGGTCAAGCAGTGGCACCTGTTTCATGGACTTGGACAAAGTGAGACCCCTGAGCTACAGCTCTGGATCTCATCTCCAGGGGCTCCTGTATACCCCCAATCTCACCCAGCCTAGCAGTCCCAGGCTCCCACCCGGGAAAACCCCCAGGTGTAATGCAGTCAATTCTTTCTCAAAAGAATGACTGCCAGTTTCCTATTTGTTTCATTACACCCTCCTTTGAGTAAACAGCTAAGATTACACAAAGATGGTGACCTCTTAATTCTGCAGAAGAGGAACAACTGTGAAGACGACTGTTATTTCTGCAGCATTAGGTAGCCCTTGAAAGTGACAGTGATTAAAAGCAAGAAAAGTCACTCAGAGGGGCTTAAGGTCTGTGCTCTGGAAGGGAGGGCATGGACCTGGTGCTCTCATAAGAATAAGAAACAGACACGGGAGAGACACAGACTGGGTCCCTGGGGTCTAAGGATTGGAAGGGATTTGGGGATGAGGACTAGAGAAAGTTTAGGGTTCTAAAAATGTGCTTAATCTATTTCAGAAGTCCTAAAAGCACCTCTAGACCCTGTGGGTGCAACTCTGATGTCCCCACCCCCCACCTCACGTCGCCGGGAAGCCACCGGCATCACACTCTTGGCCTGGGCACCTTGCTCCTCTTTACGTAGGAATCCTCTTCATAAACATCTCGCGACAACCCAAAATCCGAAATCTTCATCTTTCTTCCCTCGGCTACCAAGATGTTTCTGGCAGCCAAGTCCCGATGGACAAGCTTCAAAAAAGAAAGAGAAGACCCTTCAGGCCTGGGGAGCGCTACGTGGAGGTGGGTGTGGCCAAGGCGGCGTGGCTTGGCGTGGCCTAGTGAGGGGTGCGGGGACACCGCGGAGCCTCAGCCGGGAGAGTGCGGCGATGGGTGGGGTGTGGCGGCGCAACCCTCTCGGCACACACCTTCATTTCTGCCAGGTACTGCATCCCCCGCGAGATCTGCCAGGCGAATGAGATGAGGTCGCCCATTGTTAGGGCCCGCTCGTCTGGGTTGTCCAGGGAGCTGGAGTTGCAGCTGCCTCCGCTGCCCACGTAGCCGGGGCCCACCTTGCGGCTCTCGCGCAGGAAACCGCGCAGAGAGCCGTACTTGGCATACTCCACGATGAGGAGCAGCGGCCCTGGGGGCAAAGAACGAGCCCTGGACGTGCGGAAGGGGCACCAGCGCAGGGAGGTTGCAGGGAAGCTGCAGGGCCCCGGAGGCCCGGCGGATCAGATGCCCTGCCAGTGAGGGGGCAGACGGACCCAGCCCCTCCCTGGGCAGCCCAGCTGAAGCTCCCTGCCGCGCATAGCCACATAGGTCCGGCTCGCTCTAGCATCTTGTGCTCTCTGCCTCCCGCTGCCCCGTGGGCGCCACCTTCTGGACGTGCCTGAGGCAGGCACCTACTGAACTCAGCCCTGTCCTGGAAGGCACCCCTCCCTGTTGAGATCTCAGGCCTCTCTGGATCCTTGCTCTGGGGGCAGCAATGGCTCGGGAAGGGAGCACAGATGCAGCAGCTTTCTGGGTTGCAGTCCTGCCCTAGGCCCGGCCTTGAGCCCCGGGGGTGCTGACTAGGGTGTCTGTTGTTCTCTCCCTGTTGTACCTTGTCTCTCTCCAAGCCTCAGTTCAGACAGACAGACAGACAGACACACACACACAGAGACACACACACAGAGTCTGGAAAGCCAACAGACCAGGCCTGTGTTCTGTGTCCTTAGACACAGAGAAATGGTAAAATGCTTCTGTCATGTAGAGCTGAAGTTGGGGTCACCTGAAGGTCAGGGCATACTTAGTGCCTGTGAGTACTGAGGATGCACCTTCCATTTCTGGAGTTCCCTAACCTGGGCTCAGCTCAGAATGGGCTGCTGGCAACTGGGATGTCACATTAGAGCCCTCTGAGCAACCTCGGCAGGTCCATAGAGGGCCACCAGCAGAAGTGCTGATTGGCCAGTGGACAGCTGGACACAAGCTCTAGGCTGAGGCTGGAGCCAGAAGCCCAGGGAGGAGGGAGAACAAGGCACAGGGAAGGAGAGGACCACAAAGGATGGAAGAGGGATAACGGGGCTGCCCAGAGCCCCTGTCTGTGTCTGCCCCACCCCACGTCAGCCTTACCGTCTTGGCTGCAGGCCCCGTACAGCTTGATGACATGTGGGTGGTTGACCTGCTTCAGGAGGTTGAACTCTGACAGGAGGTCCCGCAGCTCACTCGGGGAGGCATTCTCTGAAATGCAGCACAAACAGCAGGATGTAAATGGTGCTTCCTGGAATCCCCTTCTATGGACATGCTGGGTCAGGAATGGACCTGTCATCTCCTTCATGGATACTCTGCCTGGGTTCAGACAGAAGCCCCAAAGGACTTCAGTGCTCAAGGTTTCTCCTGGCCTTCAGGGTCAGTCAATAGGGGCCTCATATGTTGTGGGGGAATAAGCCACCCGAGGGGCTGGCATCCACAAAAGCAGAATCTTTTCTTGGAAAATATCCCAGGCTGTGCTAAGTGATTGACAATATGTCCCCACAGATGCCATCTTTAGAAGTCAGCAGGCTATAGAGACTTCCCCTCATTAATCCATTTGGGAAGGTCAAGGGACTCCCCCAGAGTCCCGTTATGCCTGCTTAGGGGGAGATGCCCATGAGGGAGGATCCCACATATGGAGATCAGGCTCCCTTCTAATGTGGGAGCCTAATGTAGAAGGTACCCCTCTAATGTGCTTCCAGCGTGTGTGTGCCACCATCTCATGCTCCATTAATGCCACAAGAAACCCATGTTAGCTTCAGATAAGTCAGTGTTTCCATTTTGCTGCACACCTGACCTTTTAGCTTGGGACTTCTTTTTTTTTTTTT